GAAAATATGTTTACCTTACTGGCTGTCCAGTAGACATGATGTCCTTGAACTGTCATGCCGTTGGTGTAAGCAATGACATACCTCACACAAATATCTCACTGAGAAGAATTTGGTTCTCATGGTTATGTCCATATAGCTGTGGACATCTCTTGGTTCTGCAAGAGTTTAGAGAAATATGCCCCAATAGTCTCTTTGAAGCGGCTCCACTTCACTCTCACATAGGTGACTTATGTTGTTCGATTCACCAAAACACTTAGTGGTCATTAAAAGCATTGCTTAACCTTTTCCATATTTTAGTCACTGTTTTCATCATATGAATGGACTTGGGGATAAGAACCCCCACGGTGACCTCACAAGATCTATGCAAGTAGGTTTTCCCATTGAACTTAGATCTTGGGATCTCCAGTCAACTAAGTTGGGTTTTCCTTCACATAGCGCCTTAAATATTAATGGGCTTTAGTCACATTCCTTTCGATGTTTATCAACTTTATGTCGATTCAACTCATTGTTTAGCGGATCCACAATGCTATCTATTGATCTTACAAAATCAATATAGATAACTCTAGTTGAGATCAATTGTTTAATTATATTATGTCGACGAAGTATGTATCTCGACTTACCATTATACTTATACAAGGCACCCCCACACTTTGATGTAGTTGTAGGAAAGTTTTCTACATTTCCATAACTCATATGATGCCTCGCCTATTTTCTTGTATGTTACCTTATTTAAAGGTAACTTGCTAATAAAACAGTTTCCTCCACATGTTATGTGACAATGCAAAACATGGTCAAATGTTATTCATAATTCTTTAGCAATCTTACGGATATTATACACTTCATATGGTGTATCTGACAATCCATTCAAGATGTAATTCCGACATAGAAACTTAGAATGCTTTCAAACTTTAATGACAGTAATGTCTATCTTATCCTCTCTATGAATAGGAGGATTATCCTATATTTGACCATATTCAGCATGATTAAATATAACATCTTATGTCGCTATGTCTTGAAATTCTATCCATGAATTTCACATGCTTCTCGTTGTGGCTCACAACCACTGACATCGTTGAATTTTATTCAGTCTGAATATGAATTAACATTTCAAATCACGAGTTAGGTGAATAAGTGGAGTTACCATTGTTTTGTTTAAAACACATAACTATAATTTGTAAATATTCCAACAATAAATTGAAAGTTAATTCAATTTATTTTATCATTTGTTTCTGTTAAACAACAAAATTAAATTAGAAATTAAATTTCTAAAACAAAATTTGTAACAATGTTGTTACCTCCAAACAATTTATGTTATCAACAGTAAATCAAATAAAATTTTGTTGAACAACATGATTAAAATCCTAAAACATAATTATAGGCCCGATTTTTGTTCACATACATATCATAATTCTGTTCGGTACCTTATTTATCGCAACGAATTTTAGTCAAAACTAAAATACAACAATTAAGTAATTTCTGTTAAACGACGAGAATTTAATAAAACTAAAACCTGAAACAGAAATGTACAATCAACACTATTTTGTTGAATCCGTTAAATGTCACGATTTAAAACTAAAATCCAAAACAAAACCAACTTCTGTTGGACAGCGGGATTAAAACCCAAAACATAACCAATTTCTGTTGAACGATGAGAATTTAATAAATTAATTATCGAAACAGAACTAATTTCTGTTGAACAGTGGGAATTTAATAAAACCTGAATCAATAGTATAATCTCAATGTATAAGTATTATAAAAGAAATATTGAATGGTTACACTTACCTTTTTAATTTCTTGATCGAAATTCTAATATTGCCAACTAGAATTTAACAATCAACCTTTTAACGCTTGAAACAGGTTTTTAATTCAACATGCCTTGAATTCTTAACCAGAGGTTGCACTTGCACCGAAGATTTATAAAAAACCAACATCAATAAAAGTTGGTAGACCCTAAACCTTCTTATAATCATTGACAATCAAACTTGAACCAACAATTGTGGGTTAAGGTGCAGTGTGCGCATGACAAACATTGAAGGTTGACACTTACACTAAACATTAAAAATGTTTCATAATTATAATTACACCTCTTTCGTTATTCTTCACTCAATTTGGCATTTTTTAATGACATGTTGATAATCAAATTTCTACAACCAAATCACGTTTGTGAAGGTCCAAGCAAGAAACAAGACGTCCTGCAAATTATTATACTACACAGACTAAACATTTCCAAAGAAAATATAATATTCTACGTACCTTGATGTTTGTTCCAATGATTTGGCTTGTAGACAATGAATTAAGTATTCAACCAATTTGGAATGAATTGTCAATTCTCAAAATTCCAAAACAGCAAGCACTTTGGAATCACATTTTTGTCTTAGACACCAAGTGCATCATTTCATGGTAAGCATCACGTGAATGTTTGTAAGTATGACTAAATCACATAGAAGTATCATCTAATGAAATTGTGTTTCCAAACAATTTCAGATGAATCGTAAATTTCCTTTGTTATTGAAAAAACTCATAATTCTCCAAAAGGTACAACCATCATTAGCAATGTTAAAGCATGGTGAATACAAATTTCCACGATCGACATATCCAATCATCAAAAGTAGGGAAAATTAAAAAAAAATCACATCACCAAGAGCAAAGAAACAAAAACATGTTAGTTTTGCAAAGAAGGCCTCACTGTTTGCATTCAAACCTGCAAATAGCCACCAATACTTGTTTTGCGCCTGTTTGATACTTCGTTCAAAGAATCTCGTTTCGGATTAAAAAATAAAAGGAATCTGTCTTAAGATTGTTAGAGAAAAGATTAATCCGAGATAAAATAATAATAATACTAATAAATATTATTATATAATCGAACGAAGCAAAATAAATAAAGAATTAAAATTGAGGAACGTGATTTGTTTACTCATATGTAGAAACGAAATCAGATGAATAGAGTATGATAAACCGAAGAAGGATTTTTGTTGAGGCCTATATGAACAATTTCCTTAGACAAATTCGTCCTCTCCTCGGTGCTTTGAGAAACGTTGGACGTCGGTCTCCCAGGATACTACAACAAACGATCACAACAGTAAGCACAACCGTAGTGATCAGTCGAACACAATCTTACCTTTCTCTATCACCGGAAAGAACGAATTTGAAAGAAATTTCTAAGTGATTTCCTAATTCAACTTTGCGAATTGTGTCTCAAAGTTGTATCTAATATTGTGCCTCAACTAACCTATATATATAGGGGAGAGGAAATTAATCAAAAGGTTATGACCTTTTGATGAAGAGATTTGTTGAAAAGCTAATAAGTATAATTGAATTGATGCAATTTTATACCAAATAATAAGTATGTTCACCAAGTGATGTAACTTATTATTGAAAGACATCAATTTTATTCAATTATTTATTAATTTTGCCAACAACATTTTTCTATGACTCTATAACACATTTTCGACTGTTTAACAATTGTTTTCATTTAAATTTTTTAGGGTTAGATTTGACATCGTCACGACTGATTAAGATTACGCTTATTTGTTATCATATCAAGATGACACCTATTTGTTATCATGATGATCTTTTATGCTTTAGATATGCGATTTACGTTCATGGATAATATTTTTACATCGTTCGATTTTGATTTGTGTATGTTGGTGGTCTATTTCAATAGCTTTATTCCCTTTTGTGGTTTGTTTGCCGATGCAGTCAGATCTATTCTTATTTATCTCTTGTTCGAACTTATTTTGTTAGGTTTTTTAAACTTTTCCTTGTATGATACTTGTGTGGTCTTAAATGAATAATTTTCTTGTGTTTAGTAAAATATTTTTATTAAATGTTTAGTTTACAGTTGTGGTTGTAAATTTTTATTGTAATTTAGGTATTTTTTTTATTTTTAATAAAAATAACGACTTCTATAAAAATAAATAAATAACATCTAAAAAAATATCAAATAATCATTAATCATTGATATTTTTAACAAATTTTTAATATTTTAAAATAATTATAAGATAATATCTCTTTGTTATATTTTTAAATTATTTATAACATAATTATTTGAACTTTGTAAGGAACAGTACAAATAAAAGAAAGATACATCCAATAATGGGATGATGAAAATACATTTAATTTTTTACATTTAAAAGGTAAAAATAAAAAAGAACAACAGCCACCCCATTTCTGTACTAGAATAAGATAGATCTAATGTCATATCATACAAATAATCAGATAGACATATTAATGGTAGGCGCATAATATTGATATATATATACACATAAACAGCTTGTCCACAAGTAAATATTGGCCATTAAATCACGTCACTTTGCAATTTGCTACACCATCAGGATGAACTTTCTGGTAACATTCAGCATCACCTACTATCTGAATTAATATTTTAGTAAATTAAACTATATTATATTATTTAAAATAAAGTTATATATATTAAAAAATTTGAATAAAATATACCAATAATTCTCGATTATATGATATTATTTTGTTGAGTCCTCTAATTATTAAAAATTACAAAATGATCTACGACTATTGAGTGCTATTTTATTGAGTTCTCCGACTATTAAAAGTTATAAAATAATTATTTGGCTATTCATAATCTACAAACTCGTTCTTTTCCATTAAAAAATTTACAATCATCTAAGTTAGACATTAACTTGTTGGTTGAGATATTTTAAAATCATATTTTAAGATGCCTAGTGTCAACGTCGTTACTTTCAAGCACTGACTTGATGATATAATGTAAATAGAGAGTCTATCCACGAAATACATCTCAAACAATTTTAGGATTATATTTTATCATATTCGATCGACATGTTAACACCAAACTCAAACGACCGTCAAATTTTTAACGAGAAAGGACAAGTTTGGAATATAAAAATAGTTGGGTGACCATTTTGTAACTTTTAATAGTCTTATAACTCAACAAAGTAGCGTCCTATAGTAGGAGGTTATTTTGTATGTTTTAATAGTTAGGAGACTCATTAAAGTAATGCTCTATAGTTGGGGGACAATTTGTGTATTTTACCCTAAAATTTTTGCAAATATTATTACTATTTGATTTTATTGACAAGAGATTTTATGATTGAGTTGCCATACCAGAACCGGGAGTCCACCGTTAAAAGTAGCGGTGAGCCCTGGGGAGAATTGCGGTTGCCGATGGGGTGTTGTCACTAATTCAATTTGAAACCGTCGGATGAGTGAAAGCGCCACCATTTTCAGCTCCAAAAGCGCCATCTCTTTTCCCAAACAAACCCTGAATCCGCCTTGGAAAACTGGATACTTAAAAGGGCTTTCGGGAAAGAAAAAGCCGTCGTGTTTCAACCATCTTTCCGGCTTGAATTCCAAGCAATCCGAACCCCATATCTCTTCCATCCGACCCATAGCGTAAGGATGATAAGTAACCCTAGTTCCTCTCTTCAACAAAGACCCATCAGGTAATCTATCGTCGTTTCGACAAAACTTGGAATCGAATTGAATTGGAGGGTAAAGTCTCATACTTTCATACACTGTTGCTTGCAAATAGTGAAGCTCTTTGATTTGTTCGTAGCTTGTTAGGTCTTTGTTTTCACCTATAACTCGATCCGCCTCTCGTTTAACGGCCAACACTACGTTCGGGTGGTTCGCGAGCAGCCAAAACAAGCTTGTTAAACCCGACGCTATAGTGTCACGACCGGCCAATAAAAAGCTTATAATAATATCTCTCAAGTAAGTTTCATCGTTTATGTTGGACATGAAACGGGAGAGAAGATCATCACTGGTTGAAAACCCCACTTTTCGCCTTTGCCTTATCACCTCTTCGGCTAAAAGATCGATAATCTCGATGGCCCTTTTTAGTTCCTTCTCACTGCCTAAATTCAACGCCCGTTTCATCTTCCATACAAGTGGTGAAACATTCATCGCTCTCTCCGCAGACAATTTGGAGGCTAAATCAAAAGCCATGGAGAATTTCGACATGGGTAGGGAAAGCTCGAGGCATGTAGGATCGATCCCGAAAGAGAACCAGCAAATGATATCAAACGAAACCCTTCTAAATACCTCTTGTAAATCCAGTACTTGCTTTTCTGGAAATGATGATAATAATGGGATAAGCCTGGTTTTGATCTCAATGTTGATGATATCAAAAGCATAACACCTTATTGAGGGTTTCCCGAGCTCTAGTGTCGCCATGTTCTTCTGAAACCTCCAGGGTTCACCGTCTACGTTGAATATCCCACGACCAAGGAAGTCGCCCAAGATCATGGAGAAAGGTTCCCCTTTTGGGAAATTATGGAAGTTTGTTTTGAGCATGTATTCAACGTTTTCTGGGTTTGCTGTGATTGTGTTGCTGAGAACATGGATATGGATGGTTTTTGAAGGCGAGTTGTTCAGCAGGTGAGTGTACCAATCGCAAAGATTGTGGAATTGTTTTGACCAACTCGAAGTCAGATAAGCACTGCAAATCTCACAGTTGCACCATAGCTTTGGCTTGATTAGTAAACGAAACAATAGATAAAAAAGAGAGATTATGATTGTAAAAGTGAAGAACCAGGCAGCTTCAACTTCCATCGGAGAAGAAAGTTAAGGGGGTAAAACAAAGAAAAAGAGAGAGAGAGATATAGATGAAATGAAGGTCTTATGAATCAGATTCTGAAAAATTGTTAAAAACATTAAAGTGGCTTTTGAGAGAGTAGAAAGAACACTAAATTAAATTGAAAAAGGTAAATATATAGTTAAAAGATATTGGAAAATAGAATACCAAATATGCTAAAGATCAAAGTCTTACAGGAGGGAGATGACAGTGGATCAGTACTTGTACTGTCGCCAACTTATGCCATTTGGGAACAATCAATCCACGTGCTTTTATTCTTATTAAAATATGACCCACCAAACTTTATGGGTAAAAGAAATCATGTTTAGAGAACATATTGATAATTAAAATTTATATTTATGTATAGTTAATGTACGAGTCCTTTACACTGATATTTAGGTAAAATATAAAATAATCACATGATTATAGGATATTATTTTATTAAGTATTTAATTATTATAAATTATAAAATAATTCTCTAATTATAAAATAGGATATTGTTTCACGTTGTTTTGTTAAGTTGTTTAACTATTAAAAATTATAAAACAATCATCTAATTATGAATATATTTTAAACTCATCATTTTTAATTAAAGAATTGACGTTCGTCAGAGTTGTATGTTAACCTATCGACTGAGATATTATATAATCATATTTTAATGATATATACTGACATCATCGTTACTTTCAAGCACTGACTCAACAACATAATGTTTCAAGTACGTGTTCGACGGTATACTATAAAAAGAGATTTGATCAATAAAATACAACTCAAACGGTTATGAGATTTCTGATTTTCAATTTTATCATATACTCAACAAGTTACATTCATTTCATATGGATGCCAATTTTTTTTAAAAAAAAATAAAAAGACGAGTTTACAACATATGAATAGATGATAACTCAATAAAGCAACACCCTATAGTTAGAGATGATGTTGTAACTTTTAATAGTCAGATGACTCAATAAAACAACGTCTTATAATTAAGAGGTCGTTTGTGTACTTTAACCTAGATTATATTCCACTACTTCATTAATAAAAATAAAATAATTTAACAATTTTATCATCAAATATTTCTAAATTTATCTAAAAATAGTCATAATTATTATTATTTTCATGTCCGAACTTAAAGTTCTATTGTTACATAGCACGAACAAATCCTAACATATAAAATCCGACCAAATCTCGTAAGGTTAAAAATATGAGTTTTGAAATCCTTCATCAATGCTTTGAAAATGCACGATGAATGTTTAAATCATAAATTTAGCTTCGAGGACAATATTATATAAAAGTATATTACGTAGAACATTATTAATAGGGACGGATAAAGGAGACGGGTAGAGGCAGTCGTTCTCTTGAAAATTTTAAATTCTCTTATATTTTAAATTTTTTATGTATTTTTTGTTAATAATATATTTTTATTCTTAAAATTTTATAAGTTCAACCCAAACATAGAATTATACATTCATTCCTTATCATTAATTATAATATGGATAGCCAAGAAGTATGGGAACACAACAGCATGATTCAGGTGTTTCAGTCAATTAGACAGTAGCAGGGGATTATAGTGTCATGGATGAAGGTTTAGGGTTTTTATTTTTAAAATTATAAAAATATTTTGAATTTTTATAGATTTTGAATATTTAACAATTAAAATAATATTTTGATATAATTTAATGATATTTTGAATTTTATTAAAAATTGAAGGGTGCAGTTAAAAATGTGACAAATGTTGAATACTTCTTTTTATCATTATAACTTATTTTAAATTAGATCAAATTGACTTGTAAAAAAAACCCTCTTGTATGGAGGAGATTTACCTCGGTTATTGAGCGATCTGTGTTATTCTTTAGGGTAAACTACACGGGAGACCGTTAAATTATGGTTAAAAATTAATGTGACCATCGGACTTTTAATTGAATCAATCAGACTATTCAACTATTTAATTGATTCAATCAAATCACTCGTCGTTAATGTTTAACAGAGGTGGTGACATGTCTGTTAAGCTTAATTGGCATATTTATATATTTGATCCTTAATATTTTTATATTCTATCAATTTAGTCACTATTTTAATTCAATTAAATAAATTTAACTATCCAATTAGAACGTGATAATATATGATTGGAAGGTTTTATTTATGAATTTTAAATTATTTAATTAAATAAATTTTCTATCCAATCAGTGGTCACCACTCAATGGAAGTGAAAATTGTGTTTGGTTCAAAGATTGTGAGATTCCCATGGGATGGGAATCCCACATTCCCATGTTTGGTTGGCCGGGAATCTTATTCCCGGTAATGTTTTATTACCAATAGTAGATTTTTTGGGGTATATTACCGGGAATGTCATTACCTCCCTTCCCTTAGGTATTGTAACATTACCGGCGTTTTGGACTAAAATGCCCTTAAATTTTTATTTTTTTTTTTCAAAAATATTCTTCTTCTGTCATTGAATAATAAAAATTCTATGAAGGTTAAATTATAAATTTTTCCTTAAATTATTTTAGATTTACAAAAAAAATCTATAATTAAACTTTTATATGAAGTTCAGGGGTTAAATTTTTTTTACCCTTTCATTAAACCTTTTTTATATTTTTAATTTTGTAAACAAATTATATAAATATTATGAATTTAATTTTTTAAAGAAAATATATAAATATTTTACAATATGTAATATTATACAAATATATAATAAGGACAATTTGGTCAAATATACATTCTAATAATCTTTTATTCCTTTTACCAAACACGGTAATCTTACATTCCTGCTAAACAAACCAAACACAAAATACAACATTCCCAGTAATCCTATTTCCTGGTAATCTTTTATTCCCACTAGTAATCTTACATTCCGTGAACCAAACGCACCCTAAAGGGACAAAAGTTGTGCTCCAAGAGATTTAAAGCAAGGTCACACAAGGGGAGGGGAGGGATAGAGTAGGCGCTCAAACCATTAGGCCAAAGGTCCCTAATAGTTTAAAGTTACAATAATTTATATTTATCTTTTAAAGGTTTGTTAAGGATAAAAAATTAAACAAATTATTTGTTTAAATAAATTATTAAAAAATTAAATAAATTATTCATGACTAATAATTTTCAAATAAATTTTGGTCGATTAACGGTTAAAGAAAAAAATTTGGTTCGATTAATCGAACCAAAATTTATTTGAAAATTATTAACTGAACCGAATTAATTTGAAAATTATTAATCGAACCGAATTAACCAGATTTTTTAAATTATTAAACGAATTAATCGAAGCAAAAATTTGGTTAATTTGTTTCAGTTAATCAAACCAAAATTTATTTGAAAATTATTAACCGAACCAAATTAATTTAAAAATTATTAGCCGAACCTAATTAATCGTTTTTTAAAAAAAATTAACCGAATTAATCGAAGAAAAAATTCGGTTAATTTAAAAATTATTAACCGAACCGAATTAACCAATTTTTTTAAATTATTAATCGAATTAATCGAAGCAAAAATTAGGTTCATTTAATTGAACCAAAATTTATTTGAAAATTATTAATCGAACCGAATTAATCGATTTTTTTTCTTTAACCATTAATCAAACATAAATTTGTTTGAAAATTATTAATCGAACCGAACAAATTTTGGTTAATTTGGTTAATTTTTGAATTAACGATTTTTTTTTTAATTTTCAAATTTATGTAAAAATTGTATATTTTTTAATTCAAAAAAACAGTTTACAATTAATTTAAATAATAATTTGTTTAAACAAATAATTTGTTTAATTTTTTATCCGTAACAACCATTTAAAAGATAAATACAAATTGTTGTAACTTTAAACCATTGGAGACCTTTGACCCAATATTTTAGGTGCTTGTTCTATCCCTCCCCCTTGTGTGACCCTGGTTCAATTCCCTTAGCTTAATTTTGTCCCTTTAATTTTCACTTCCATTAGGTGGTGATACGTGTCACCACCTGATTGGATATAAAATTATTTAATTAAATAATTTAAAATTCATAAATAAAAACTTCCAATCATATATTGACATGTGTCACATTCTAATTAAATAGTTAAATTTATTTAATTGAATTAAAATAGTGACTAAATTGATAGAATATATAAATATTAAGGATCAAATATATAATTATGCTAATCAAGCTTAACGGATACATCACCACCTCTGTTAAAAATTAAAAGCCGATGGTTTGATTGAATAAATTAAATAGTTGAATGATCTGATTGATTTAATTGAAAGTTCGATGGTCACATTAATTTTTTATCATAATTTAGTGGTCTTCCGTGCAGTTTACCCTATTCTTTATAATCTCATAGCAGAATATTTTGCCTATTTGTAGCTACAGATCGTCTTACTTTCAACCCCATAAATTTGTCAGTGTCTTGTTTGACTGACAATAATTGATTTGATGCTGAGAAAATACACCATATAAATTACAGATGTTAATATATATATATATATATATATATATACGGTTAAGTTATATTGTATACAAATTATTCTATATAATCTGGTGGCAGAATATTTTCCCTATATGTAGGTACATATTGCCTTACTTTCAGCCCCATAAATTTGTTAGTGCTTGTTTGGCTGATAATCATTGATTTGATACAAAGAAAATACATCATATATATATATATATATATGATAGTATTTAGTTATGTTGTATAAAACTTATTAGTTTTATTCGTTAGATAAATTTAATTAGATGATTGTGATTAATATTTTGTACATTAGTATTGTCCTTTTTCTTTTCTAATTTCCATCGAAAAATATATATTTTTAATATGAGATATCCATTTAGATTCATCCAAGATATATTTTATGTAAAATTAATGAGTTTTACATTGTATACTTGAATCTTGTTGACATATCATAAAACTTTTAAATTTCAAATAATTTTGTGATCGTTGAATTATTGAAAATGAATGAAATTTTTAAATTTCAAATAATTTTATGATCGTTGAATTATTGAAAATGAATGGTTGAGATTAACAATAAAAGATGAGAAATTTTTTT